TGTCTCCCAGGCCCCGAGGAAACCCCCTTTCTCCAGCTCCCCAAGCCCCGCCTGCCCCGCCCCTGCCTCCGGGCCCTTTCTTTCCATTTCTCTCTCCCCTGTGTTACTCGCCTGTTTATAAATTTTGTATGTAAGTCTCTAATATAACACCGAATGTGTAATTTGGTTAATCACTTACAATGAATAAAACTTCGTTTTCCTTTTTGTCTCTTGGAAAATTGGTGAGCTGAACGTTAATCCCTTCACTCATAAAGAGAGTGAGTTAATATAAAAATAAATCAGCTATTGTTTTTGCTCACCTCCACCTGCTTGACCCCCCTTTCCTGGGGCACCCCTGAAAGTGGGACGTGGACATGGGGACGAGGACACCGGGGGCTGTGGGCAGAGGGGGGTACGGACATGGTGCGTGGGCACGCACTTACCATACAACTCAGCAGCCGCACTCCGGGCATTTATTCCAGAGAAAAAAATGCCAGTCTCGAAAGTTACCTATTGTATGGTTCCATTTCTACAGCATTCTTGAAAGGATGGAATTGCAGGAAACGGGGAGCAGATGAGTGGTTGCCGGAGTTTGGGGAGGGGAGCAGAGGCTCCTGGGATGAGACTGTCCTGTCCTTGATGTGTTGGTGGTCACACGATTCTACACAGGTGATAGAATTACATGGAGCTAAACACACACACACATTTAAAACGAGTGCATGTAAGCTGGTGAAATCTGCAACCTGAACGAGTCAATGGACTGTGTCCAGGCTCACTTCCTGGTTGCGATGTCACACCAGAGTTTTGTACGATGCTATCGCTGGGGTAACTAGGTGAAGGGCATATGAGAGCTCTGTGTGCTTTTCTTACAGTTGCGTGTGCATATATGATTATCTCAAAACTAAATTCTAAAAGATTGCTTCACACACAGTGTGTGTGTCCTGTGCACACAGAGCGGCTTGTCCCTGGAGGACAGATGTGGAAGTAAAACTGTCAGGTCTCAGGGTGCATCCATCTTCAGCTCTTCTAGATGATTCTCTGAAGGGTCTGCTCCTGTTTATACTCCTCCTTGCAATAACATGAGCTCTCATTTCCCTCTGTCTTCTCCAATATTTGGTATAGTCAGAATTTAAATTTCTTACCAGCCTGATGACTGGGACAAAGTATCTTATTGCTGTTTTAATTTTTAATTCCCTCATTACCAATGGTTGAAGTTCTTTTCACATTTTATTAGTCCCCCTGGGTTTTCTCTCTAGACTATAGAGCCTGTTCAGAACCCTGTTTTACTCTTGGGTGTCTACATCACTGAATTTTGGAACTTTGGAATATTCCAGATACCAACCTCACATAAGCCTGTTTATCCTCTTAGACATCCACCTATTTTTCATAACAGTGCCGCAGACCTACCCAGTGTTGTTCACGAAGCCCACAACAAAAGAACATTCAGATCTGCATTTTTGCATTTTAACAATTATCGAGTCTGGGACATTTTAACAGCTTCGGAACACGCGCCTGTAGTTGCCGCTGGGCACGGCGTGAGGAGGCTGCACCTGCGGACCACAGCTTCCGTGCCCGCCCGAGCGTTCCAGCCGCCCTCGGGCCGGCCTGCCTTAGGGACATCTGCCTTTCCTCAATAAATCCCTAACACACATCTCCCACTGCTTCTGCTTCTCTGCTGGAAGCCTGCACACTACAGATTTACAGAGATTTAAAATCTGCTCCGGAGAATGTTCCAGCTGCTCATCTGGCACTCCAGCCTGGCAGGCGCCAGGGGCTCTGATACGTCTGCTCTCCCTGAGGTGCAGCTCTGGGGGCTCCTTCAGGGGCTTCAGCAGACCAGTAGAAGTGTCCAATGACTATTTATTCAAAATCATACGAAGAGTAATTAGAATACAATCTTTTCTTCTTTACTGACAGCCGAGAAAGTTAAGGAGAGGATGATACAAGCAAAGGCAGATGACAGTACCCTTAGGGTCGTGTCATTCTGGAAAGGAAGCACGCTTTGTTGGGCATCTCCCTCAAACCTCAACCACTGACAACTGTGGGTGCAGACCACTCACTCACGGTGGGATCGAAAATGGAAGAGAAGTGAAGGGCACCTTCGCACGCTGTCCTATCCACCAGGGCCGCGCCAGGCAGCAAGCAGGAGCTGGTGGCAGACGCCCAGACTGAACCCTGCCTCTTCCCAGTTGTGTGCCCTTGGGGTAACTTAGCCTCTCGGGGACTTGTTTCCTCATCAGTAAAAAATGAGGCTATGAATAGGACAGTGACATCAAATGAGAGCATCCTGGGCAGCTATGACATTATGTGAGGTGACAAATGGCTCTGAGAGGAGAGCCTGGCGGTTTGCAAGGGGTCAATAAATGCCCCCGGTAATAGAAAAGGCACGCAGGCAGCTTTAACCTTAAGTGTGTCTATTTTTAAGGAATGTAGAGAGAAACTAAAGTCAAACAAAATAACCTTCGATGCACATTTAAAAATCAGGCAAAAATAGAAAGACTGGTCTCTTCTTTTTCAGCGGTCAGTGGGCGCCCTGATCAATGCACACTCAGCGCCACCAGCGAGGGGCTGTGAGAGCTGGTCTCCGACGTCGCCGACGGCAACACACACCAGGTCTCACACAGCATCTCACCTCACTCTTCCTTATGTCTGGGCAGAACTGTGGTTCTTTAGAAGGATTTTCAAAGCAGATTTAAACCGAATAGCTTTTGTTTAACCCTGAGTTAATACAGGTGGTCAATTCAGAACAGTTAAATCCTTGGGAGTTACTGTACCAATATTCACAATAATCTTTAAAGGGATTCTTCCTCCTCAGGTTTCTGTTTACTCCACTTAAAAAAAAATCTGCTGCTGTGCTCTTTGCCCTGGCCGTGGAAACACGCACCGCCAGGCAGGGGGGCCTCCTACAAGCCCCGCCCCCCCCCCCCCAAAGGCCCGCCCCGGTCCAAGCAAGCCGGGGGCAACCCCAAAACCCAACCCCCCAAGCAACCCCCCAACAACGGCAAGGGCCCCAAGAAGCCCCCCGGCAAGGCCAACCCCGAATCAAGGGGGGCCCCCGAACCCAAAGGGAACAACCGGAAAGTGTCTCCCTGGCCTTGAGGAGGTAAAATGTCCAGCGCACACAGGTCTCCTTTGGGTGCCCCCTAAAGTTTCCTGCCTCTGAAAACCTCTTTCTCCTCCGGAGTCCTGTGGCCAGACAGGCAGAGGTCTGGCTCCCTGAACACCGTCTACCACCCTCCCAGCGCTTCCCAGCAAGCCCAGCACCTGCCGCCCACCGGCCACACCAAACACGTGCTGCTGATTCTCACATCGCTGCAATCAGAAAAGGGAGGAAGGAGCCAGCTTATGCCTCTTTCCTGCCAGAGTCTCACTCGGATCCCCAAGAAACCGGAACCTTCTCCCAAACCCCTCTCCACCCTCCAAACAGGGGCTACAGTAGCTGAAGCAAGGCGCTGCCACGAGCACCCCAGAACACCTAGAGTGACCGCAACAGTCACGCAAGCCGACTGGGGGGGGTGTCACAGAAACGGGCGCATCCGGCCCAGGACGGGGAGTCGCGCCCGGGGGGGGCGGGGCAGAGCGGAGCAATGAGGGCCACAGCTCGCGGCACGGGCACCACGGCAGGCAGGTGGCCGCAGGTGGGCTTAGGTGGGCTCAGGTGCGCTCAGGTGGCCGCAGGTGGGCTCAGGTGGGATGCTCGCGCGCCCGGCAGAGGAACGGCAGGCAGGCCCCGCGAAGGCGGAAGCCGGGACGGACTCGCGGTAGCCGCCCTGGTTGCTCAAAGGGAAACTGCTTCGCCCTGGGGGAGGGGCGGGGCGCGATCGTCCACTTGGCCCCAGGTGCGTAATTAGGGGGCTCTTTCAGCCGGACGGACCCCCCACCCCGCCCGCCGGCCCTTCCGCTCCCACCAGCAGTCTCCGCACCCGCCCGGCCCAGAGCGACCTCTGTTGACCGCTGTCACCTCCCACCTCTGAACTTTACCCCACCCCCAGGGCCGGACGCTGTTGGAGCCACCCGCGGCCGCCAGGTTTGGGCGGAGGCCACCCCTGGAAACCTGTGAGGCTCCAGTCCCCGCCGCTGCGGGCCGGCGTCTGCACCCGCGCCCACCCCCTCGCGGGTAGGAGCTGGGTAGGGACGTAGTGTCAGGTCTGGGAGGCCCCGAGCTGCCACCTGCGCCGGTGACCAGGTGAGCCCCGCGCGTTCCCGGCCGGGAAAGGCACCCGGAGTCCGGACGCGGGGGCCGCGCCCGCCCCCAGCCTCGCTCCAGTCCCCGGGTACCCACCCCCCGCCCGAGCCGTCCCGCCCAGGTCTCCGCGGTCCCGGCTCAGAGGGGCGCGGAGACAAAGGCGCCAGAGCCGCCCCGCCCGTCCCCGGAGAGGATCACCTACCCGCGCTGTGCTCGCTGCTCCGAGGCCGAGGGGCACGGCGGGGTCCCAGGCCGCGTTCCCACGCCCGGGCCCGGGGGGCTGCTCCCTGCGCCAAGCGCGGGCAGCGCAGGGGCCCTGTGCCGCCGGCGCCGCCTTCCGGGGTCGGGAAACTGGGGCCGCCGGGGCCGGAGGCTCGTCCTCGCTGGCGCGCGGCGGCGCTGACTGACGGCGCTGCTCCGAGGGACGGGCGCGCACGCCGCTCCCCGCCCCGCCTCCCGGGCCGCCGGCCAGCCAGGTAGACGCCGCTGGCTGCAGGCAGCCCGCCCCGCCTGGGCGCCCGCCCCGCGCCGCAGGGAGCCAGAGGACCTGGGGGCGGCTCTGCCCACGCGGATCGGGGGACCCGCGCGCACGGTCAGCCCTCGGGGGCGGGGCCGGAGCTTCGCCCGCTGCGGAACTGGGATCTAAGTTGCGGCTTGTGGAACCTTCCCTCGTGATTTGGCCTCTGACCCTGCCCCGACCTGGCTCTCGACCTCGCCGGAGGGATCCGAGACGGCGTCTCCTCCAGGCCCGTTGCACAGCACGCGCGACTGAGGCCCACTCTCACGCGACCGGCCCGCATGCACACCGCCCACTCCGGTTCATGCCTGTCCTCACCCCTCGCTGGCGGTCCGGCGGACGCACTTGGCACAGGTCAGTGTCTGGGTGCGGAGGGTCCAACTCCAGGCCAGTCCTCCCGAGGTCCGGCCTCCTCTTCCCGGACCAGAAGTAGGATCCAAAGTCCTGCGAACAGGTGCTCGCTGCGGAGCGGAGCGCACGCGCGCTCGGAAGGGAGGCCTGCGGGAAGGCGCCGCAGCGGGCGGAAGGAAGGAAGCTACCTGGCCGCACGGAAGCACCGTCCTGCCGGTGGTCTGCGCCGCCCTCTGCATCAGGCACAGAGCCGGCAGGGAGAGGGGTCTGAACTCTGGGCCTCCTCCCGCTGGGGGAAGAGTAGGAGGTCGGGGAGACATGCTGGAGGGGACCCTGGTGTTCTTCCGGACCTAAGTCCCCAGTCAGAAATGGGTCTGATGGGACAGGAGGCAGGGGACCCACACAAGGTGGAAGGGAAGACTCAGTCCGCTCCTGCCCCTGGGCCACCCGCAGTGTGGGTTCCAGGCTGCCTGCCCAAACCAGCCTCCCACAAAGACCCCCAGGATTTAGCAACTGAGTTCAAGTGCTGGTGATCCAAAGGCAAATACTTACAGAAGAATATAAAACACTTAATCTAGTCTTTTCCTCAGAAAAGATGGTCGGGAGCGGAGAACTTGAGGGTCTGCGAACTTGAGGTTGGGGGTGAGGACGGGTAGATAGAGGGTGCCCAGTGCGCCAAAGATAAAGTTTGTCCCCCGATTTCCCCCCCGACTTCACACCTACCTTAAGTACGGGATAAACAGGGCGGGTGTGAGGGAGCTGGGCTAACACTCAGGGGCACAGGCAGTGACGCCTGACCAGGGTGCCCCCGGTCCCCAGACCCAAGTCACTCTTAAAGCCCAGGCCCTGGGAAGCTGGACCACCAGGCCCCATTTCCAATGCCCATTTGAGCATCAGAACAGCTCCTCCCTGGGAATGTCTCCCTGCCTCATCTCGGGGTGACTTCACACAGAGGGGACACGTGGCTTTGGGGAGTCACTCCAGCACCCTGAACACAGCGGCACGTGTCATTCTGCTTTCTTCTACTTCTGCTAGATTTTCAGTGGTTTACCGAAACGTTACATCTGCCAGGACTCACCTCCGTAAATGTCAGGCTCGACAAGCTCCAGTTAAGTCTTTTTAAAGTCTTTATAAAATTGCACCGTGCGTGTTTTGTTGGGGATAGAATACCCGTGCAGGTGGGTAGCCACATAGTTTTAAAAATTCATGGACACTTCAAAGAAAACCTACATGAGTAATATTATTTAGTAAAACAATTCATCAACATTTAAAAGGTCCAGGCTTAGAGACCATCCCCTCCCTCCTGGTTAGGACGGGACCCAGGATCGAGGACAGCAGACAGAGGAGGCAGAGGCTGGTACCTTACCTTAGAGGGTCAAACTTCGACATAATGACGTCCATGCAGCCTGTGTCAAAGTGACAAAGATCTGTCTTGCTGAATGAGATTGAAAGGCATCTTTTGACAGGTGAATGATCAAAGCCTCATTTGTGCCTTTGATTTTCTGAGAAAATCACGTTGCAGTTACCTCTGTCTGTCGGGGAAGTGGAGGGCAGGAGTCTTGACCTGTTCAGTGTCTCACGTTGCAGCAAATAGCAAACTGTTTTGTGCATGATATACACTCAATAAATTTCTGTTGAGTTAAACTCCAAAGTACCCAAGCTAAAGGGAGTAAATTAATCTATATAATTTCCAATAGACTTAGGACTACATGCATTTTGAGTTTATTTGGCTTTTCAAGAGATTTGTCCTTGTTGTTATATTTGCCTAGAAGAGGATTAAACTTTACTTTCATCCCTGCTCTGTAATTAACAATTTGCTGGCGATAGTCACATAGCAGATGATCCACCTGTATGTGATCGGGGGTTCATTGCCTGACCATAAATTCCGGTTAGGAACTGGGTAGACTCTGCTACGTCACTGGATGCAAGAAAATTAGGTGAGCGAATTGAGAAAGTACAACATAAAAAAAAAAATTATGTGAACAGGGAACCATTTGGGAGCCGTCAAACACAACTACACACACACACACACACACACACACACACACACACACATTCACACACTCACAAAAGGCCTCTTGTCACTTCATCCCTGGATGAAACACCAAGAAAAAAAAGAAGAAAAGGAGATACGTAGGACTCTGGTGATGTGGGGAAAAGCAAAAAATCCTTCATACATTTTCCTACCATCAGTTTGTTGGTATTATATTTTCGTCAACTTTTACAAGGCATAAACTATACATATATAATATTTTTCTTTAATTTTATTAATAAAAATAAAAGCACACAGCTGTCCATAGAGATGAAAGTCACTCTCAATGAGCCATAGCACTGTATTGGCACTATATAGAACCCGTGTGCGTTCAACGCGCAGTCCCCCTGTGGAGTTGGCCACCGTTCTGGGCTCTGTTAGAATGTCCGTACTTCCCAGTGAGGTCCCAGCGATGCTTGGCGTGCTTTCCAATAAGCCTCTTAAATTCTCAGGGCTCATCTGCGTGCACTCGTAGACACTTTAGATGGAGCTAGTGTGGCCAGTTTATTTTGCGCTGGCACTATCTCCAGTCCCACGTGGCCTTGCTCCCATGTGACTTAGTGGACACTGATGCTCTGGAGAAGTGGAGTCTCTGTTCCCTCCGCTGGAACGAGGTGAACATTGGTGAACACTGGCCTCCACCAGTGGGGCAGGCTCTGGACTTCTGAGCCAGGACCGTAACAATGCCAGGAATGGACACTTTTCTCTCTTGGGCCATTTGCTCTTGGGAGCGGCCGCCGTGCTCTGAGGCGGTCCAGGCAGACCCACGGAGCAGCCACGTGCTCACATCCTTGCCGACAGTCCAGGAGAGATGCTCGTGACAACCAGCGTCAACCTCCAGCTGTGAGCGTGAGCAAGCGTCCAGAGGAGACTGCCTTTGAGTCACCTTAGCCTTTGAGTCGTGCAGGTGAGCTCCAGACAGCCGGGGCAGAAATGAGCCACCCACCCTGGGTGCTTTCCCAGTTCCTGGCCCGTGGAATCTGGGAGTGTAACTAAATGGCTGCTGCTTTGGTCCACTAAGTTGGGGACAGTTTGTTATGCGTCACAGGATGTGGAAGAGTTGGTTAGAGTGACAAGCAGAAGGATGGGCCCACAGAAGCCTCGAGGGTAGACGCCACTGCCCATCCTTTCGTTCTTACACCCCTTGTGAATAACACAGACTCCATTTCCAGAAAAAAATATTTTATTACCTGACAATCTGATTGGTCAAGCGTCTCATTCCTTCATTCACTCACTTATTCAAAATTAATTATTTAAATACTTCGTATTTAAAGCTTTTGGCTAAACTGTGGAAGATAAATGAATCCCAGTAGTTTTTACTGAGGTGAACGCTCTGTTTGGCTCATAACTACGTTACCTCTTCAAGTACGTGGTACTAACCGGTGCAAGTGAAAGATGCCGGAGTGTCGTTCAGTTATTCTGTGTTCCTCTATCACTGTTTCCGGGGTTGGACATTTACGTATAAATGTTCTTATGGCAACCAAAAACATAAATTTCAGAGATTCATTTTGGTTAGGAAAATAGCATTTGCTTCTGTATTTGCAGAAGGGTATATACCACAGGTTCCTAAAATAAATGTATATTAACATACAGCCTCATTGAGCATGGATTATATTGTACAATCAGTGACTTTATCTCTGTGGTAGCATCATCTATGGTCAGATTCACATGAGGAAAAGCTACTCCAGGTTTTATTTTTGACGTTAGGTTTCCCTGAGACACCGTATCCCAGGTCTGACACGGCGATTCGCTGAGGAGCGACGTCCAACAGGCAGGAAGGGGTCTGTCCGTGCTGCCCCTGCCTCTCAGCCTGCTCCGAGCCACAGTTCTCGCCATCCCCAGCAACGGCCTCACTGGCCACCCAGGGCTCCAGCCCCCACTCTGGGAATCGTCCCAGATCCTGCGCGTTCCCACGTCTCTAACTTGTCCACACGTCTTGTCACTGCCCCCGGCGTCCTCCATCTTGACTGTCCATCCCACCACCTCGCCCAAGCCCCCGCGTGGCTCTACAGGCAGCTGCAGTGGGTGTCTCAGTCCCCACCGCGGATGCGTGACTTCTTAGTCCTAAACTGATCAAGCCACATCCCTCGCTGGAAATCCTGAAGTGCCTCCCCTGACCTTTAGAATAAATTCACACTCCTCCTGCTCAGCTCCCACCTCGGACCCCCATTCCTCTCTCTGGGTCTCACACCTGCCTCACCCTTTCTGCCTCGCCTGTTTGTGGTGAGCAACACACCCTCTCTGCAAGATCACTCTGCTCCGCGCACCGCCACAATCGCCCAGTATTCTAGTCATGTTGGCCTCCACCTAGAAATCCCCTGCTTGGTAACCCACAGAGTTTCTCTTCTGCAAGAGAGTAAGGGTTCTGGAGGTGGATGTTGGTAATGGTTGCACGAAAATGTGAATGTTCTTATGCCACTGAGCTGTACACCTAAAAGTGGTTAAGATGATCAATCTTACGTGTATTTTATAATTTAAAAAAGTCCCCTCCCTAAAGAGACCTTCCCTGGACTCCCGTTCTGAAGCAGCTATCTCTGGGCTGTTTCACACCACTGTTTTAAGTCTCTGCATTGCACTGATGATATGATCTGGAGTCTTTTTTTTTTTTTTTTGAGACAGAGTCTCACTCTTTTGCCTGGGCTAGAGTGAGTGCCTTGGCATCATCTTAGCTCACAGCAACCTCAAACTCCTGGGCTCAAGCGATCCTTCTGCCTCAGCCTCCCGAGTAGCTGGGACTACAGGCATGCGCCACCATGCCCGGCTAATTTTTTCTATATATTTTTAGTTGTCCAATTAATTTCTTTCTAATTTTAGTAGAGACGGGGTCTCGCTCTTGCTCAGGCTGGTTTTGAACTCCTGAGCTCAAACAATCCACCCGCCTCGGCCTCCCAGAGAGCTAGGATTACAGGCGTGAGCCACTGCGCCCGGCCTGGAGTCTTCTTATTTACTACTTGTATTCTAGTCCTCTAACCCTCCTACATTAGCATGTGAGTGCCACATAGGGAGGGACCTTGTCCTTGTCCACTTCTGTCTCATCAAACCCTGACGCAGGCCGGCACATAGTAGGTCTTCAGTATAGCACCTGAATGACATCTGGGCCCCATGCGATACAGTCTGGCTCAGAGAAAGACAGTTTGTCAGCCACCTGGGGGGACAGGGTGGGGCCGCCTCCCCTGTGCCAGGGCTGTGCTGGGGGCGGCACCCGGGCCGTGGATCTACTGATACCACCTGCAGATGCAGCAGGAGAGAGATCTCGCCAGGACATCCTCCCTCCCCTGCGCAGACCTGCTGCCAGGTCACACAACGTCGAATGTCAGGACAAGGCCCACTCCCTGGTTACAAAAAGCTACCTCTTTAACACCCAGTGGGGCATCTGTCTGGCTCAACTCTGCCTTCCCAAATGTTTCTGGCCCCGTCATAGCTATATATTCACAGGGATGTATACCCACATGTCTATACACACCACGGCCAGCTGCACACTGGGCCTGCGTGCTCGTGTGTTCCAGTGGGACGGGAAAAGGTGGCTGCTTCTTCCCTGGTGGTCACACCACCCCAGGCTACTGAGAGAAACACACAGATAGTTCCAGCTTAGAACATGGATAGATAGATGGTGAACCCCAGGTCCCGAAACGTTCACAAGATAATTACTTTGCAAACTAGGAGCAGCTTTATCAGCAGAGAAGAATCCCAGCCACCTCTCCGTCTCTGCTCACACGCGGACACAACGCTGGCCCTGCCCACTCGCTGCCCGGAGCCTGGGCCCTCAGGCCAAAGCCACTCAGCAGGCAGGAGAGAGTAGGTCTTTGATGTAA